TTTTTTTTCCTCTAATGAAAACATCCTCCGTCGAGTGCTGTTCTCCTCAGCTAAAGCAACAACCTCTAAAAATCTCGAGTCTTGCTATCCACAAGCGTATAGTTAACCATATTTAGTTGAGTAATTTCCTTGAGTTACTTTGTCGGGAGATTGAAAAGGATTGTTTTATTGCTTCCTCCCCTCTCTCAAACCGCTCCAGGCAAAGTCTGTGCTTTAATTAGTCGAGCAAGACCCTGTTTTCCCTTTGGATTCCCCCAACTTGTAAAGTGTTCTCTTCAGAATCTATGAAAGCTAAAAGGGGCAATGAATGATTTGAAGTCAGCCTTCTTTTGGGTTCGCCTGCCAGCTCCGAAAGGGGAGGGGCTTTTAGCACTCGCCTCAGTATGAGGAACAGTAACTTGAAGCAGCAGCAGTCACACAGAGCCTTTGTTCTTTATGGATATAGTACGTGTGGTGGAGACAGTCACTGCTTTAAAGCCCCCATCTGTAAGAGCACTGTTCGAATATCTAATACAAGAAGAAAGGCTCCTTTAGATAATACCTGCCTAAGAATGGTAAAATAGTTACATAGATCAAGCTAGCACATCCATTTTGCCTCCTTTTATTATGAGCTGGGAGCGGGGGAAGTTAGCTTGTTACACAGTAGAGATTTAGTCATGTGTTCAAGTCGAGCCTCTGAAGCACACCCCCACCACCAGCACCAGCGCCACCAGCACCACCACAGCCTAACCCTCTTCCTGGTGTACAAGTATTGTTTTCTTCTCTAAATCCCTTTCCCCCCCCCCCTCCTTCAACTTGTCTGCTCATCCCTGGTGAATGTATTAAATGAAGTTACTAGATATGAGTGCTTAAGAGGCCAAGGCCTCTGAGGCTTGCCAACTATCTCACAGGCTTGGCTCAGTCATCCATGTCACTTTTTTCTGTTGTTTCAGCTACTGGCTGACTTATTTGTGTTGCTGAGCACTTTCTCCCCCTCTTCTGTCTGTCTCTCTGTCTCCCCTGCTCTCCGTTTGCTGCCTGAGTGGCTTGTTTTTGTTTTTTGTTTTTTTCTTCCCCTCCAGCACAGAGAAATCAGGCTAAAGCAAACAGTTTGTGTGAGCCACAGCTTTTGTCAAGTATTCATTTTTAATGAGGGTAAGTGGCTACAGAGTCCTATAAACCATAAATGGAGTAGACAGACCGGGGAGGGGCATGTGGGTCTTTGATTCAGTGGCAGTCTTTTTGTTCAGTAACACTTGTACTAATTGTGTTTGATGTGGTTGAGGGAAAACGTATTTCAAAATGATAGCTTGTGTTTGGTTTAATGTGCCGTTTTGGTGTGTGTGTGTGTGTCATCGTCCACCTTTTCTGGTTTTCTTAACTTCTACTGAAATTCTTCTCCTCTGATAGTCTTTATGAAGGGAGTGTTATAGGAAAGTGCCATTTCCCCCCCTTTTTAAAGCGGCTCTGTTAAATTTCATTGCCTCTGAATTCAAAAACAGAGACCAAGCAACCAGATTTTGCTCTGTCGGGATTGAAGGCGCTATAGCTGTAGAGAGGGGCGCTCAGGGAAAAGGTATTGTGATGGGCCGTTTGAATGCTGAACAGAATTGAATAGACACAGTCAGCTTCCCAGATACATGCTTAGGCCTGTAGAATGTGGAGTGCTTTGCTTGTAACTGCACCGGTTGTCTCCTTTCATTATCGGTTAATGGTGCCCAACTTGACAGAGCCATGTGATAAACAGAGGAGCTGTGAAATCCTGGAGGTGGAGTTCTCGTCCGCCTGATAATGGGATCTCATCTGCCGGGGAGGGGAGCCTGCCCGGGCCAGCCAATCCAGCTTTGCTTCGCACTGCCTTCAGAGTGGATTCGCTGCACTCGCCCTTCACTGCCGTCTTGGGCCCAACTTAAGCCTTGCGCTGTGCTGGAAACGGTGGCATTTTGAGTCACTAGACTGAAAAATCTTTTACGCTTTGATTGTGTGATAGAAACCGAGGGAGACGTGCGTTTCCATCTCCCCATCCATCCTTCTGGACCCTCTGAGTGTTTGCGCGTCTCGGGGAAAGGAGGGAGACTGTGTGTAAATATCATAAACACTGATCCTGTGAAATGTATACATACTGTGATGAGGGAGGAGCTGTGGCTGCTCATGGTGTTGGGTTTCTAAGTGGTGTGGGGGCGGGGGGTCAGGGCAGTTGCCTCAGGAGCTGGAAAAGGTTTTTACCAGCACTCTGTTACACAGCAGAGCCCACCACCACACCGCTGCCATTGAAATGAAGACGACCAACGTGGTTTGTAGCACAATGAAGAGCCCCCTGCACACCACCCCTCAACTCAATTTCTATCAATCCTCACTGACTGTCTCTACTGCTGCCCAGGTTTGTGCCAAAAAACTAGCCCAATGCACTATTTACTTTAGTTAATTGGATTTTTTTTTTTTTTACAGTGATCCAATATCATGGTTAAGACAATGAAAATGTGTCAAGCTACTCACTGGGTGAAATGAAAATGATCCTATTAATTTACAAGGTAACGCAGTCCATCTTTGTGTCACTGCTCTTCCCAGGTGTGTTGGTGGGCCGTCAGGTTTTTCTCTTAATGGCAGCATTTAGATAAAAAAAAAAGGGCGGGGGGGACTAAATAGTGTTGTGCGTTTTTTTTGTTTTTGTTTTTTTTTTTACCGTGAAATTCAACAAAATGTACAGGTTTACCATTAGAAAAAGAAAAAAGAACCCCACCCCGCTGCAAAAAACGAACTATGGCTAATGGACTAGTCACATTACCATCCCTGCTTGTTTCTGCCTTTTTAATGGGTGGGGTGACTAATTAATTCATTATCCAAAAATGCAAATGAGCTCCTACAAACCCGAGCGGCATCCACTGGAGGGGTGGGGAGGGGGGTGCACGTACTAATGTTTTCAGATCGAAATCAGCGACCTGTACCGTAAGGATGGCGTTACGTGTAGTTATTTATATATTTGTGTCACCGTTTAGAAAAGAAACGTGTCAGCGCCGCGTGGCGCGGGAAATGTGGGCTATTAAGCAATTATTTACAAAGGCAGCGCTACAGCACGCTCTCATTGTGTCGCTTCAGTGTTTCAGTCACATTCCCCATAAGCGTTGTCATTGATCGCTTGGCGATTTTGATGATGATGACGACGATGATGAAGGTCGTGTCGGGCTACTTTGGCCGCCGTGCACCTCGCTTCCTGATGCGCGCGCGGTGTCCCCTCGGCGCTGGCATCAATCAAAAGCCCCCAATGGCGTCCCCCAACCACCCACCAACCCACCCCATCTTTGTCCATGACGATTATTTGAATCCAGTCCATGTTTTTGTTTCGCTCGGATTTTTTTTTTCCGCCTTTTTTTTGAGTGTGGTCGGCGTAATTCTCCTTCACTAGTGTCTGGATAAAGAAAGACTAGGTCAGCCATGTGGATGCGTCTGTTGAACAGCTGAAGAGGGGGAGGAGGAGGGGAGGAAGAGAAGAGGAGGAAGGGGGGAGGTTTACAGACTCGGAGGGAGCGTGGAGTGTGTGCATAGGAGGAGAGAGAGAGAGAAAGGGGGAGAGAGCGTGCGCGTGGTGTGTGTGTGTGCGAAACGGAGAGAGAGAGAGAGAGAGAGAGAGCAAGATCGTGGTGTGTGTGTGTGCGTGTGTGTGTGTGGAAAAAGGAAGCGGAGCCTGTTAACGGCGAACTCGCTGGTTTCCTACCCCTCGAAACAAGCGCTATGTTACTTTGCTTGTGGACACTGTCATCGACAGCAACAACAACACGGCCAAAGGGAATAGGAGCAGTTTCGAGGGGGGACTCGCTAGCGCTGTAGTGCCTTTGATCGGGCTCATTCCGGACGTGAGCAGCCTATCAGTAAAGTGAAACCGTCTTTTGTTGAAGCAAGTGCTCGCCTGAGTCCCTCCGTGCGGGTGGCGTTTTCTTCTTTCAGTGGGGGGATACAAAAAAAGAAGAAGAAAAAGTGTCCGTGTTCGCCTCGTTTTTGTCCCGGGTCTTGGATTAAGTCCAGCTGGCTTGCCTTTTTAAGTTCGGTGGGTCATCCTGGGCAAGGATCGCGTTTTGAACTTGTTTGCAGCAGTCTGTGGGACTCCCAAAGAATCAGCAGACTGGCGGGTGAGTAGTTGAATACAAAAAAAAAAAAAGATTGTTGGAGAGTTGTGGTTGGAGGAGGGGGGGGGGGCAGACTGGGAGCTGTGTGTGTGTATGTGTGTGATAAAGACACTGGATTTGGGCTCTAGTAAGGCGAAAAGCCGGGTGGCACACGCACAGTTTGAGTCTGAAATGCCCTTATTTTTGTTTATACCCAGAGGAGGAAGTGTGCTGTGTGCGTGACCCTCACTCAACTGTTTTTGAGCTGCAAAGTTGTATCTCCTGTGGACTGTAGCAGACCCCCACAACACAACCTCCGTGACCCTGCGGGCACTCTAACAGTAGTTTCAGCAGCTAATGTTTTTTTTTTTTTAAGTGTGAAAAATGAAGTAAACAGAAACTGGGCTTGCAATGCAGTTTTTGCTGCCAGGGAAGGAAACATCAGACATGTGGAAGTTCCTCGTGCTCAAGCATTTTAGCAATCAATTAACTTTGAGGAACAACTAAAAAAAGAAAGAAAGACCAAAAACAAAAGTTGCATTTTTACTGGAGAAATGTCAAAATGAGTCTCAGTGAGTTGGTCGTACATACATTCTGACTAGTGGGATTTCCCCCGGTGTAACATTATAGGCTCGACTGTTGGATTTTCACTCTTTGTCATGTCATAAATTGGTAATCCAGCTGTAATAATGGAGGCTAAGTGGAGCGTTTTGTTTTTTTAAAAGGTGGGGGAGTTTACTGTCTGTGAGAACGTCCTTGCCAGTTGCAAACTATGGAAGGACCCACCAAATTAACTTGATTCCCGCCCCCCCTCAGCACCCCAGAGGCTGTGAACTCTGGCCGGAGCACATGCAGCTCTCACTGTGGGGGTGGTGGTGGGGGAGGCTCTGGGGTTGAAAAGAGCAAGAGAGTGGGGGGGTGGCTGGCTGGTGGGATATGTGTGTATTTGTGTGTATGTTCAGGAGGTGGCAGCTTAGGATTTTAAAGCAGACTACAGTTATTTGTCTGAAAGGCAGCTTATCCACTGTTTTCGAGTTATGGCAGAGGGGGGGGGTTACTTAAACCGCTGTAAATTGGTCGTAGTAAGTCTGGGTGTCAGAGGCTGAATCCACTGGGTACTTGGGCACATAAGCACAAACACAGATTCAAATCAAGGAGGGGTGAGGGGGAGTGAAGCGGTGATTGCCTTCAATCTGCGCTGTGTAAAAACAGTCCCTTCCTGGAATCCTTCTGCTGGATTTTTGCGCTGAACTACCACATAAACTCAGAGTTGCATTGCTAATTGCGAGGAGTTAATCTCTACCATACCAAGCTTCCTGTGCCTGTTTTTTCTTTTTGGTCACCTTGGTAGCTAGGAAGTGACCTCTACCTTAATGATTCAGATGTGATTAATCTGCTCGAGTGGGACGACAGCGTATTTGTGATTAATGTATGGAACAACCGCTTTAAAAAATCATGTGAGTGAGATTATGGGGCACTGAATCAGGCACAAGGTGCAGTTGTGGTTAAAAATTTAACAGCGTGTCTTGTTCCTAGTGTTCCTTTAACTTGTAAATCTCAGCTTGCCGGTCTGTTAGTTTCCCGTGTTTGACTCGATTTGTGATTTTGACCATTTGATTTTGTCGACGACCGGTCCTACTGCCACTCTGTTAATGATTTTGAGTTGATTTAACTACTTTTAAGCTTAACTGCACCACTAAAACAGGCCAGAAATATAATCCTGAGCTTTTTCAAAAACGTAAACCAATGCCATTCATTAAGATGGCCCATCATATGTATTATTTTATTATTTCAGCAGGGTTGGGTTCAGTCCTTTATGCCACTAATGGGCCCATTTCTAACTTATATACATCTGCGTACCATGCAATCACAGTCTCAGCCTGCACTCTCATGTGGGAAAACTTGCATAGCTGGCCTTTGTGAACACATTTTAAAGCAGCGTCCTCTTCACTTCCCCAGAGGTTAGGATATCCATTTAGTTTCACTACTTGTGGACGGAGCGAAAGAGGAAGTGGTCAGACCTCTTAATGGAGTTGTACACAGGAGCCTGAGTTGTTCTGCAGTGTGGGATTTGTATGGAAAGAGAGCGCCGAGCATTTCACAGCACTCAGGCTGTTATCAGATGAGAGTATAGCAGCTTAAATCTTAATTATGTACACACCGCCTTACTGCTGTCGGTATCATTTCAATCATGTCTATTTGCAGTGCTTTATACTAGTGTTTGTGGGAAATGAAATCTGATGTGGAATTTGATCCGAGTCCGCAGACTGCGTTGTTTGATTCATGTAAACCAGGGGAAGCATAGTAGCGGCGTGAGTCACCGCCGCCGCCGCCCCCACTACCCCACCGCACTTTACAAACACAAGTCCTCACTGCTGACAAGGTACAGAGAGCTAGTAAACATTCAGCTCACATACGGGCGCGTGTATGAGTGTCACCTCTGAGGAATCTGAGGGGCGATATCCAGATCAAAGAGGCTGTTTCTGACCATGCAGAGAGAGAGATGCTCCATAGAGTGAGGCTGTAACGGCTGTCTGGTTGCTCAGAGGCGGCTGAATGTTTGACAGGGCATTGGAAAAATGTTATTTAATCTGCTCGCATGATGGCCCTCAGTGGGATTGCACCACGCTGTGTCCCTGCCCCCCTTTTTTTTTCTCCCTCTTCGGTGTCAGGATGATGGCAGTTGCTGGCTGCTAGAATTTGAAAAAGAAAGGAAAAAAAACCACACACTTTTGAGGTTGCTGTATGTTGTTTTTTAGCATTATGATGTAACGCATGAAGAATTAGAGAAAGGCGAGTTGTAATTGATGCAGTGTTGGCGGGCCTATCATTTTCTCTCTAATGAGAAAGTCTGCTGGGGTCTTGATATGTTTTCCATTCGGGTAATAGCCTGAATGACTCAACTGTATTCCTTTGTAATTACAAAGAAAACGATTCAGTTGTTATTATAATAGGTTGCGTGAATGAAAACACATGTGGCCTTTGACTCCCTGAAAAACAAACTGTTGTGAGATGCTTATCGCTCAAACATAGGTAAATTACATCTCTGTTTTTTTCTGAATGCGGGCTCAACTGTGTATATCTTAGGCCACATTAAAGGCATTTCTTGCAGTTACTCTCCCACTTTTGACCTCGACAATACAGAGCAGCAAGCACAGGCTTGTTAAAGAAAAGCCAGGTGGAAAATCAATGAAAGTCCTAGCTTTTCCTACCATTTCCACCACCCCCACTGCACAGAAGCAGACTGGAGGTTTTGAGGAGCGATGATAAATCTCTCCAGGACTTGTGGAGTTTTTTAGACAGGTTTCATTTCTAAATGGATCGAGCTTGCTTCACCACTTCGCAACCTATTGTCCTTGCGGATAGCGGCGTACCGGTGACTCATTAGAATACATTAGCCGCGGATTGACACAGTGCACATGAAACAGTGGTACTGGAACTGCTAAGGAGGCAGTACCCTCTGGTGGGTGACTACTGAAATGGAGAGCAAATAAGGACTGGAGAGGTGCTTTGATTGTTCATAGAAAATTCCTTTTAATTTGTTGTGTGCGCAGAGGAAAAGCCGATATCTTTAATTAACAAAAACCTCAGGAGCCAGCGATGAGTGAGAAATTGGGATAATTGAAAATAGGCCCTATCTCCTTTCCTTCCACCCTCCCTCCTCCAGCTCTATGTCTGTACATCCTTAAAGCAGCTGAGCCCATCAGAGGGCACTTTTCGCACATGTTAAGTGGGGGGACATCTGGCCTTGTTAATTCAGTGCATGGCCATAAAGTGGAATGGCGGTCCCCACAGGGCTGCCTGCTCTGAACACAGTCAGATGGAGCCCGTGCGTCCTCTCTATTTCCCTCGTCCTCCCTGTTGACTGTCCCTTTGACACCAGCTCGGACACTACAACAAGAACATCCCCGCAATCTTGATACGAGCTTTAATCACCGCTGATGTCTGAAGGAGATAAAGCGACAGCCGCGCAAATCTTTGCATGACAGAATACTAAATCGCAGCACGCCTGGGCTTTATTGACCAATCCCTGTTTTTATTTACTTCAGAACGTAATACCGTGTAACATTGTTTTAGGCGCCTGCCCCCAGATAGCTACTCTATATTTATTTTTTAGATGAGATGTTTTGCATTAGTAGCATGTATTCATAAAATCCATGTGCTGTTGCCACCTGATGTCCCCGCATCCTCTGGATTAGTAGCAGCTAATCAAATGACACCAGTGGGGATGCGTTAACGCTGTGCATTCATATCCTATTTTAGCGAGTAAACATTAAATGTGTTTAAATGTATCACGGCTTTATTTATGCATAAATCTGCTATTAAGTCTGAATTATACATTAGCCAATGAATAATGCATCAGTGCCGTTCCTTAATGATTACTTGCAAGGCAGCGAATGGTAATATTTGCTGATAAATTTGCCCATTGATCTCGCTCGTGTTTAACCAAGCTTGTAGAGATGATGTTTACTCCATTTTATGTTGAGGATGCAATCAAAAGGAGGCTAATTTATGTGTGTGTGTTGCTGTCTTTTTCTATGGAGATGTCTTTTAAAAATGACAAGAGAAGTTTACGTGAAATGTACACAGTCTTAATTCTCTGAGCACTAAATGTTCGTTTATTCTCGTTTCCTCTCGCATCTGAGCAAGGTGTGTTTGCGTACTGTTCAGGGTTACTCTGAGGACGTCTTGTTTATTCTTAAACCTCCACAGATCAATGTCCAATTACGTCTTTTGTCTTTGTTGGCTTGTAGCCATTACATGATGCACCGTTCTTGTTTTAAGTACGAGTCTAGACTATGTTTGTTGCACTGGTAATTCAGTCCGTACTTGGTAGTGGTTCTCTATTGATACCGTGTCTCTTTATTGGCGCTGGTCTTAACAGCCGCACCGAGCCAGATTATTGGCACATTATCCTCATAATGCTCCGAGTCTAGCATTGCCTAAGCCTTCAAGCCTTGCAGCACAGGCTGTTACTGTGCAGATATATTGCTTGTCCACACAATGAGAAAATATTGACTTGT